GAGTCAGTTCTGATGGCTGCTTTGACTCTGCTGTCCAGTACAGTGCCTATGCCCTCCCTGCCTGCCTTGGGCGGTTGAGTGCTGCCCCTTGGCCCCTCACACATTCATTTCTCACAACATTGGTACAAAACATGTCTTTTGCATCCTCCCAGTGTGGGTGAGAATGTCTTAAGGGACAAGTCCATTCTAACATTTCAATCCTACTGAGCTGTGAATCCCCAACTCTACATTAACCCAGGGCAAGACTGGCTTTTCCAACTCATTCATGATGGGCCAACTTTTGGTCCATGTTTCACAACCAACCAACTAAACAAACTATTAGATCTGTTCTTACTTCCCAAGCTGCAACATTAAATGCAAAACCTCTTCTCAGGGAGGCCATATCAACAAATTTATCCTAATTCAAGTTTATGTTCTTCTCCCTACTGTCTCACACCCATTCTCATACATGTTCCCAGAGCTGTTTGTATAAGTTAGAAAACTCAAGTAGATCCTTTAAAGTGTAGTGCACCCCCTCATGGGTCTCACTCTGTACCTGGCCTTGAGGGACTTGCTGAGAACTGAGTTTCACTATAGCTATGAAGGGAGGGAGGGGTAGGTCCTGTCTTTGTCTGCTTAGGCTTCCATAACAAATACCATAGACTGAGTGGCTTAAACAAAAGAAATTTATTCTCACAATTCTAGGGGCTGGAAGTTTAAGATCAAGGGGACAGTTGATTAGGTTTCTGGTGAGAGATTCCTTCCTTTTTTTTTTTTAATTTCCCATGGGGATCCCTGGGTGGCTCAGCAGTTTGGCGCCGGCCTTTGGCCCAGGGAGCGTTCCTGGAGACCAGGGATGGAGTCCCACGTCGGGCTCCCTGCGTGGAGCTTGCCTCTCCCTCTGCCTGTGTCTCTGCCTGCGTCTCTTTCTATGTCTATCATGAATAAATAAAATCTTTTAAAAAAATTTCTCACATTTATATTGTTGCCTCATATATTCAAGTGCATACCATATCAAATAGCCATTTATTTTAAGATAATTAGTTTTCTTTTTTATTTTTTTAAGATTTATTTATTCATGAGAGACACAGAGAGAGAGGCGGGGAGACACAGGCAGAGAGAGAAGCAGGCTCCTCGCAGGGAGTCCGATGCAGGACTCGATTCCAGATCCTGGGCTTAGGCCCTAAGCCAAAGGCAGATGCTCAACTGCTGAGCCACTCAGGTGTCCCTGCTTCCTGTCTTGTACATACATGGTCACCTTCCTGTTGTGTCTTAAAAATAGACTGTGCATGGGGGGGGATATAGATCAGTTTCTCTGTATCTCTTATAATGCCACCAATCTTATTAGTTAACAAACCCACACTTATGATCTCATTCAACATTAATTACCTCTTAAAAGGTATGTATCCAAACACAGTCACTCTGAGTGTTGGACCTTTAACACTGAATTGTGGGTGGTACACAATTCATGACAGAGGCAAAGAATTTATAAATGGAAAAGAATATCTTTATTTTTTTCTACGTGTTGGCCAAAATTTGCATTCCCTTCAAGTCTGTATGTCACTAACTGACCAGGATAATATTAGCAGTACTCATGACTAGTCATCATGAGAAATCAGATGCTTCATATCACATTACAATTGGTTCATACATCCTAGAAAACTGTTGATACTTGTCACTATTTCAAATTTACAGCACTTAGAACATCCACCACTGGAGGGACACATATTATCATGTTATGAATCTATATTTGTATTTTCATAAATGTACTTCAATATCTAATCACCTTGTAATTTCATGTACTTTATTGCAAGCATTTAAAAGCATTATCATGATACAGGATCTGTGGGCATCATCAGATTGCCAGAGGTGCCAGGGCTGAATGTCACCTGTTACAGGCAAACTCAGGTTTTGGGGCTTTGGGCTGTGCTCCACTGGTTATTATTTATTCAGAATCACCGAGAATTGGCTCAGAAGTGAGGTGTGGAAGCTCAGCTGACATTTAGAGCAGGAAGTCCCTTGAGAAAAAAGGATTTTAGTGAACAAGGCTTCTAAATACAAATTTGTAGGGCACTATGCATGATGGCCAGTACAGCACAACCATGGCCAAGAATTCTGCAATTAAGTACAGGATTATTGAAGCCTTGAAAATGAGGGTAATATTACCAATCTTTGCTAGAATTATTAGAATTTGCAACCACTTTTCTAATAGAATCATGCTCTAGGGCATTGTTTTTACACTGATCTCATGCAAATGGAAACTTGTTCAAAAATAAACAAGTTTATTTCACGGATTCTAAATCAAAGGTTAAAAAATTTTCTCTTTTGAACAGATACTTCTCAAGAGTACCACTAAATACATGAAAGGCACCCAACATCATTAGTCATTAAAGATATACATTCTAAAACCACAATGAGACCCCTTGATCCACCTCCTAAGATAGCTCACCGAGCAAACATCCCCACCATGTAGCTACTACTATTATTCTTAATGATGCTCTGGAATTTATGAGGGCCCTTAAAACATCAAAACACCCTTGTTGTGATCATACTTTTTGATTTATCACTGAAGATTATAGAATTATCAGAAAACAGAAAAAGCATAGAACATGTGATAAGCCCTTGAGGTCTGGGGAGGGCTGAGCACCTGAGGTCACAGGACCCGGCAGAAATGGACAGATGATTAGGAACCTGAGACCACAATACTCAGCTGGAACCATCCCAACACTCTGCCTCAGGGGTGCTGTGTGCTCAAGGCTGGATGGAGAGTCAAGGACTAAGGTGACCATGGAGTGACTCCACCAAACCAGCTTCCATCATCATGGTTTTCTGCCCTGCGTCTTTCTGCTTCTCAAGCCCTCAAATGTGCACGATGCACTGAGACAGGTCATCTGTGGACAGAATGTTGGCAAAACGCAACGCTGTGTCCAGGCCTCACCTTGGTGAAATTTGCTAATCTGCGATATATTAGGGAATCTGGTGTCCTTCCCCCTCTTTGCTTGCACATTCTCAGAAAACTGAGCCAAAAGCAACTTTGTAGACATCCAGTGGGTTCACTCTCCAAATGGTCCTGGCAAATTGGACTTGCCAGAAGACATGACTGAAGGATTACTTTAAAATTTCAATCTCTGTGTCCTGGACAAATACGGAATCTAATGGAAATGCAGTGATTTGTTGTAAAAGTGAAGAGTGCCAAACTGTGGAAGGAGCCACGGTGTCCATCGAAAGATGAATGGATAAAGAAGATGTGGTCTATGTATACAATGGAATATTACTCAGCCATTAGAAACGACAAATACCCACCATTTGCTTCAACGTGGATGGAACTGGAGCTGAATGAAGTAAGTCAATCGGAGAAGGACAAATAGTGTATGTTCTCATTCATTTGGGGAATATAAATAATAGTGAAAGGGAATAGAAGGGAAGGGAGAAGAAATGGGTAGGAAATATCAGAAAGGGAGACAGAACATAAAGACTCCTAACTCTGGGAAACAAACTAGGGGTGGTGGAAGGGGAGGAGGGCGGGCGGTGGGGGTGAATGGGTGACGGGCACTGTGGGGGACACTTGACGGGATGAGCACTGGGTGTTATTCTGTTATTCTGTATGTTGGTAAATTGAACACCAATAAAAATTAATTTATTAAAAAAAATAAAATAAAATAATCACAAATAATCACAAAAAAAAAAGTGAAGAGTGTGAATCTCTCACTAGCAATTGGAACAATTAATCAAACCAGTTACCTGGCTCATGAGCAATAATGTCATAGATTCCTATGTCATTGCTCCTGGGGATGGCACAATAATGCATCATTGCCCTGACTTGTCTCCTCCTTTTCGAGCTTTCATGAACAACTTAGCAGTGGCTGTTTTCTAGGACTCTCAGAGGTATGTTGAACATTGTCATTCCAGTAGTTTCTTCTGTTACTTTTGTTAGTTAAAAAAAACAAACAAACAAGTAATCATTATGAAAACCTTAGAAAGTACAGATAAGCAAGAATGGAAAAAACATGCAGCCGAAATCCCAGTCAACTTCCTTGTGGCCTCCTGAAGCCCGTAGACAACTGGGATATAGTCACAAACACTGTGCTTTGGGTGGTGGCCTTTGTGCACCATAGCACCCTTACCCAATGTTCCAGATGAATGAACCGACGTTGGGAGAGGTCTGCAGCTCCTCTGGGCTGGGAAGCAGGGAGCCAGGATTGGATCTCAGGAGCTGTTACTCCAGACAAGGCAGCACACAGGGCTGGGCCAGACAAGGGATGGAGGCTGGCCACCAGTAAGGATCATTAAAGAGAATTGCCAAGAACAACAGTCAGCGCTTCATGCTACAGTCCTGGGAACAGCAACCAAGGCACCACACTCCTCCCTGCCCCCCCTCCCCCACAAGGTCCTTACCCTAGGTTCAGTCCCTAACTCTCTGCTACTGTGCCTACTTGAACATTTCTGGGAAGTGTCTCCTGGGGTTGTGACTGTCAGTGACTTCTGGGGAGATCTCTCTTCTCCCTGTAGGAACCACTACCCTCTTTCCTAGAAGAAGACCCCTTAATCTTGAGATAATTTTCTAGAGCAGATCCTGGGCTACAGTTGTCAGAGGTGAAGGGAAACCATGTTTAGATGCTGAGGGGGCCTCTCCCCACCTGCAGACCTGGGTCATGTGTGAGGCAAGGGGAGTGGTACTTTTTGAAATGTCAGTGTTCATTTCCTGTTTGTGTCCCACTTCTAGGGACATGTCCCCTTCTGCACCAAGGACATCCTTGTCCCATGGACAATCAGGATTCAACGACAGGAATGCAAAGAGGAGAAAGAGTCACTGTTCAGCACTTGACATTCCAGGAATTAGAATTCCTGAGTCGCCAAGGACCCTGAGAGCCAAACTTTTAAAGGAAAAAACAAGATTTCTTAATCCCAGGGAGGGAGAATTCCTCCTATAAAGTCACTGGAGTGAAGGGTCCCTTGCCTAGTGGAGCAAGGAGTGAAGGGTCCTTTGCCTAGTGGAGCAAGAGAAGGGAGAAGAGACTCACCATCACTGGGAGAAGGAGCAGGGGTTTCTGAAAGCCTGAGGGCTGTAACCCGTTTGCACTCATGCTGTGGGAGCCTGGTCTACAGAGGGTGGGCTCTGGGAGATCCCCAGGCACAGCCATTGGCAAGGATGTGGGCAGGTTCCACCTCCTGGGATTGTAAGGGCTGCAAACACAGGTTGTTTATAAAACGCCAGGACCCTTGCACAGCCATGGGGAGAAGGAGAGCCTCCAGGAATGAAAGAGACTAGATTTTGCACAGGTGGCTCTCAGCCACATTTATTTTAAGAAGAATAAAGGACCATGATAGTTCTCAACAGCGTGGAGAGTGATTATGCCCTAAGTCTTGGTTACAGTCACTGTGCAGTATGAAGAAGGCTGATCAGTTCACAGAAAACGAGAGGAAGTGGCAGAGGGTGGGTGTATGCTGGGGACCTGAGGTTTGTCTGTTCCCCTGATTCCCAGGTATGTCCTATGATTCCAGTGGAATCACCGTAGCTCCCAGTTCCACTCAGATACTAACAAGGATTAAGGTGAACAAACATTAAAAGAAAATGCCAGAGTCTCTCTTATAGGTTAGGACGTTTTGGCTGCATCAGGCAGGTGCAGTCACCTGTTAGTTCCTCAGTCCTGGCTGGGTCTCCTTCCCCACCCCCTCTCTCCTCCACCTGACAGGTGTGCATTCCTGCTGCAAAGGGGAGCTCCTGCAGGTAGAAGCACCACAATTTGCAGAGTACCGTGTCCATTGAACTCAAAATCCAAGCAGTCTGGGCACAAATCCCACCCAGGTTGTGCCAGATGGTGTGACTGGAACGGGCAGGCTTGGAGCCAGGGATCACCTGTCCAGGAGGAGAGGTCGGCTTAGGAGCGCAGGGCCGAGTTGAGCGCAGGTGGCGGGCGACCCCTCCGCCCTCCTCCAGGCGCCCGGGCGGTGTACGGTGCACGCAGCCCACCAGGTGCGCAAGGCCCGCCCGCCGCGGGGCTCAGGGCGCAGAGGGCGGGGGGTGCTCAGGCTCACAGACGGGGCAGGCCGACAGCGACACCCGGGGGAGGCCAGGGGGGCCGCCGACCCTCCAGGACACCTGTTCCTCTGGTTATGAAAGTGGCACTTGGCAAACAGACACGTGAGGAAGAAAACTAAATGACTCCACCCCAAAGCCAGCGTGGTCCACGCGTCGGTGGATTCCTTTGCCTGACGGAGGCCGCGGGGTCCCGGAGAGCCGGCTCGCTCTTGCCGGCGCGGTGAGCTGGGTCGGCAGGGCCGGGCGGGAGAGCCGGGCCTGGTGCGCCGGGGCTCGGGCCTGCGGGCGGCCGGGCTGCTGGCGGCAGGGGTTGCGCGGCCGCGCCGAGCCTGCACCGGGAGGATGCGCAGTGGAGCGTCTATGCAGTTTTCTAAGAATAATCATTTCTCAAGGAGCCACTGCGAGCCTAGAAACCCCTGATTCTGGCTAACCGCTGTCCCCTGGTGGTGAAGGGCGGTAGGCCTGCGGGGAGCCCCCTTCGACCCGGCCACCCCGCTCCCCTGTGGGGACAGCGGCAGCGGCCCTGCAGCCCTCCCCAGGGACACCCGACCCTGCTCGCCACCCCCTTCCCGCCGCAGCCCCACGAGGCCTCCGCTCCCACACTCAGCGGGTCCGAGACCCGACGGCCCAGCGGCTGCCTCGGAGCCAGCCAGACCCCCGCGTGCCACCGTCCTGCTTCCTGCTGGTGGCCCAGCCCTTCTCCGCAGCCTTTTCAGGAGGCGAGAGTGCAAAGGATCAGGCGTCTAAGGCAAACCAACGGCCTATTGTCTGAGTGATACATGTGCCCACCTGGGGGCCGGTCCCAGGGAAAGGAAACAGGCCTGGCCACTCCAGCGGGGCACAGGGGTGTCCAGAGCTGGGATCTGGGAGCCAGCAGGCCAAGGCCCCCTGCACAGCCGACTCACTGTGCTGTGAGAGTGCTGCTGCGGCCATAACCACACCTCCTTCCCCGGAGTCTAGTCCCTCCAAGGAGCCTGTCCCTGCCACCAGCCTGGTGTCCTCCAGGGCCCTTCTAGCCTGCCCGTCTCACTCTCTAGAGTCCCCAGATGTCTCCAATGGGCATGTAGGGCCTCTAGTTGCCTTTGCGGTGATTAGGGATCTTGCCAGACACCACACCCCACCCAGGGATTCATGCCAAACTGCCTGGATCCTTACTGACACGACAAGACAAGGCACAGGTCAGCGATTCCCCAACCTCACCACACACTGGAACCCCTGGGGTCTTAAGAACTCCCCGCTGCCTGCATGTGCCCACCCCCTCCTGGACACTCTGCCTCCCTCAGGCTGCCGGCGGCCCAGACATCACGGTGGTCAGCATGCACAGGTGATTCCAGCGGGCAGCAAGGTTTGGGAACCACTGTCTTAGTTGGAAGAAATCTGAGCCTTGACTAACACTGTCTGCCTTTGGGGGTCTCCTGGTCACAGCATTTCTCTTGGAGACCCCAGATCTGCATGTGACACAGGCAGAGGACATCAGTGACAAAGGCCACTGTCTATCACAGAGCCTCTGCAGGGACAAGAAAACCACCATCAACCAAATGCCCTCTGTTTGCCTAGCACTTTACAGTTTGCAAAACACTTTGCCCAAAGAGACACTATTCAGGCTCCCAATAGAAGGCCAGCCGGAAGAGTGGAGAGTTTGACCTTTGGAGTCAGAAGGACGAGGTGTAAGGCCTGAGTCTACCCCTCCCCAGCTGTGAGTCAGTCACTCGGCCTCCTGGCACCTGGCTCCTCCATCTGCAAGGCGGAAACGGGTGCCCTCACCACACAGGGTCTTGAGCAGATTAGAGAAAACCTAATATAAAGAACCAGCAAAGCACCAGGCGTGGAAAAGCAAGCAGCAGGAATTATGAATAGTGTGCTGAGAATTTCCCAAACTCCCTGGTCTTCTGTCCAAGAGGGAACAGGGTCGGAGCTGGATGTTTGCACTCTGGCCTTGCCCTCCCCTGTGCCCTGGAGCCACGTGCCGACTCCCTGGTAGCTTGTCACGAGGAGCCAGCAGCACCTGCAGAGAAGGCCACGACAATGGATTTATTGGTAATTCTAACTCTGTCACTGGAAGAAACTACCAGAATAAAATTTATATTTTGGGGTGTGTGGGACTTCCTGTCCTTGCTGGACATGAGGACCCTAAGCAGCTCAGGTCCTAGCCTCCCCTCCCACATCCACTGTGAAATCAAAAACTATCTTTACACATTTCCTGACAGCCCTGGGGGGAGCCACCTGCCCTGAGACCCCCTCATGTGGATCCTAAACACATCCCTGGGGAGAAGCCTGTATCTGCACAGCAGGGGGGTGGCCTTAGATTGCCTTGTCATGTCCTAGGATTGCCAGTGGGCCAGATTAGCAACAGAAATGCCCCCTTGTTTGCACGTCTAATTTTTTGATGAGCCTAGGGACATGTTTTTAAAGAAAGTTTGCTGGGGAGCCATGGGCTTCCTGTTCCAGAAATATCATGACAGTCCTCTTGTTGACGTGCCGGGGGCAGCAGAGCACAGGCTGGAGCTGAGTGGGGGTCCTGGGGTCCTCATCACAGGGGGCTGACCCTGGGGGGATGACACCTTGCAGCACCTGGGCAGGTGGGGCTGAGGGTGGCCGAGGCCAGAGCTTGTGGGGGCAGGAAGAACAGGGGCAGCCTGACCTTTGATCCAGTGTCACAGGAGGTGTCTGGGGGCTGCGGTGTGCAGAAGCCTCTTCCTGTCCTGGAGAGCCCACCTCATGTGTCTCTTCCCAACTGTGAGCTCAATGCCTTCTCACTGGGGACTTGAAATCAGCCCTGGTGGCAATATTTACAGCACAGGAATCAGCAAGCACTGCAATCAGGGTGCTTTTTTTGTCCCCCAATGAGTAACCAGCACACGCTGCTTTGAGGTGTCGGGAAACCTAACATGCACAGCTTGGAGCGTAGGAGCCACCTTCTTACAACAAGGAGCAGCTGCTCTGACTCTGCCTGGCCCACCCCCCCACCGAGCCTGCCCAGTGCAGCTGTCCACACTCACCCAAGAACCGTGCTGTTTCTTAGCTAGCCTAATTCTGCTGCCCCAGGAAAAGGAGGCGTGCTTGTTAGAACAGCAGGGAGAGGGGGTGCAGGGAGATTTCACCTCTATATCTATTTTTACTATAACTGTAGGTCCCCTCTGACCTGATTGCTCATCCTAGCTTGGGGGCAGGGGGCGGGGAAGGAGGAAGGGTATTAGCTTATTTTTATTTTGTTTGTCCTTCTGATTTCATAAGCTAATATTAAAGTAGTTATTTTTCTAAGCCTAAGATGACACAGTGAAGAAAGATGCCTAGAAACATTGAAAAATAGGACAAAGTTGGGACTTTGCCCAGAATTTAAAATTCACCACAAATAAGCTGCATTTGCATGATTACGAGCTGCTCCTTTCCTGCTGGATCTAGCTGCTTCCAACCTGGTACAGAAAGCCTTGCCCTCTCCCCATGCACTAACCTAACCTTCTCAGATCCTGATGGTCTTTCTGGTCAACCTGCTGAAGTTTGGGCATTTTTGCAACAAGACAATGAAGCTAAATTGCCAGGGGAACATGTACTAGATAAAGGGAAAGTAGAAAGTGGATTCACCAGGGTATCAAAGAATGATGCAGTTGCCAATAGTATTCACTTAAGAGAGATTCACCATGTTCTTGGCATGTGAGAGGCCACAACGAGCAAGAGGCAAGACTTAGGCTGTAAACAAGAAAAATCCAGATGAGGTAAGTCAGGGGTTGGTGGACAATGGCCTGGGAGCAAAGTCAGCCCACCACCTGTTTTTGTAAATAAACTTTTACTTGAACACAATCACCCTTTTCATTTCCTATTGCCTATGGCTGGTTTACGGATACATGGCAGTCACAAGAGAGACCACCTGCCCCTGGTGTGAGTGCAGGGATTCACACAGGGTCATATGAGAGAAAGGGGGGTGTGGGTGTGGCTGTTTTCCACTGAGTGGCCAGGGGACACCTCTCCAATGGTGACATTTAAACCAACACATGAAAGATTACAGAGGGAAGACAACCAGATGAGGGGTTGAGAGAAAGCAGAGAGAATAATGAATGCAAAGGGCCTGGGGCAGTAGAGGGCTGGGTGTGTCCCAGGAACCAGACCACCATAAGGCAGGGGACTGGATCTGGCACTGGGGCTTGAGCAAGGTGGTCTGGGGGAGAACAGTGCCTGATGGGAGAGGTAGGCAGCTTTACATGCCTAGGGCAGGTTGGTTAGGTCCAGGTGTGCGCAGCAGGTGGGAGCAAGACCTGACACCCTTTTGGGAATTTCCCTCCAACTGCTCAGAGACATTAGGTAGAAGGTGATCTTGGCAGTCAGGCAAGATTTGAGGGCACGTGAGTGGGGTTGTCCAGGCTCAGTTACTTTGGGCAGGATGCAAACTGAGGCCCCATCCCTGGATAAATATTTATTTATTTATTTATTTATTTATTTATTTATTTATTCATTCATTCATTCATTCATTCATTCATTCTAAGGATTTCATTTATTTATTTGACAGAGAGAGAGAGAGAGAGAGAGAGGGAAGGAGGGAGAGAGCACAAGCAGTGGGAGCAACAGAGGGAGAGGAAGAAGCAGGTTTCCCACTGAGCAGGGAGCCAGATGCAGGACTCAATCCCAGACCCTGAGATCATGACCTGAGCAGACGTTCAACTGACTGAGACACCCAGACACCCCCCTGGGTACATATTTAAAGTATACGGTTAAAGCGAACAAGCAGGGATAGTGCGTGTTCTGTCTCTCACTTACACAAATGACCCTTTCTGACCACCTGAAGGGAAGGACTGGTTTCGAATTCTGATTCCTTGGGGTCTCCACTGCTTTCCTGTCCTCTCCCCAAGCCTGCAGCCTCTCCTGCAAGAGGCCCATAGCTGTGGACACCCCAGGCCTCCCCTGTGCAGCCAGCTCCACCTGCCTGCCTGGGGAGCAGGGGACACACAGGAGATTATTCAAGGCAGGAGCCAGAATGTAAGAAACACAGTGGTCCCAGGTCCTCCAGGTGTTACTGCAGGGAGGGCAGAAATGAAACTAATTGACTTTCTTGGTATGTTAAAAATGATATAAATTAAAGCACTGTCAAGTAAGTGATCCTAAATCCTATTAGATTATATTTGTGTAGTGATATTATTAAAATAAGTGCTCCAAAAATTGCATAAAGCCCCTAGAGATCTGATGTCCTAGTATATTATTATCTTGAAGTGTCATGTGTCACAGAAATAACCAAATTTTCTCATCAATTGCATTGTTATGAGCTCTCACCAGATCTTTAACCTTGGCCCCCCCTTTTTTTAAAGATTTTATTTATTTATTCACAAGAGACACGGGGATGGGGGGGAGGGCAGAAACATACGCAGAGGGAGACGCAGGCTCCATGCAGGGAGCCCGATATGGGACTCAATCCCAGGAATCCAGGATCATGCCCTGGGCCAAAGACAGGCACCAAACTGCTGAGCCACCCAGGGAGCCCACCTTGGCCCTTTTTAAGCCTTTTATTGTTAACAGACGCTTATACTTTTACTCAGATGCTTTTTTAAAATAAAAGATTTTATTTATTATTTGAGAGAGAGAGTACACACAAGCAGAGAGAGCAAGAGGGCAAGGGAGAAGCAGGCTCCCCGCTGAGCAGAGAGCTCAATGCAGGGGCTCCATCCCAGGACCCCAAGATCACCACGAGCCAAAGGCAGCTGCTTAACCAACTGAGCCCCCAGGAACCCCTCTCAGATACTTTTATGAAAGCTTTCCACCAATGGGCTTCATCTTCAGTGAGGCTCATGAAAAAAATAAAAACAAAAGCAGGAACAAAACCTCTGAGTACAGGTTTCTGATAACCTTAAAATCCTAAAACCAAGCTATATAAAAATACCCAGAATTAGTAGAAAAAGTGGACTCAAGCAGAACAAGACTTAATAACAAGGGAATGAATGAACCAAGGAGGACTGGTATCATTTTTATGACTTCATGTTCACTTAAAAAAATGTTTCATTTTTCCAGATTTAAGGAAAACTTTCTTTTAAGCTAAGTGACTTACAGCAATTTGATGCATGATACTGTTGAAAGCAGGATTGAAGCCTTTACTTTTCTCTCCACCTGAACCCTCCAAAGTTCAGAAAATCAAGGACTGTTCGTATTTTTTATGGCAATATATCTATTTGCAAAAATTCAAAAAGAATCTGTTTTCCTCCCAAGAGGAAACATTGGTTACATTACCAATACTTTGGCTGGGCTGTCATATCTGAGAAAGACGTGCACAGACTCAGACACGACCAGACGGCAACTTTAAGGAACTGAAGTTGGCTTCACAGAGCCAATAAAGCCCCTTGAGATACCAGCCTGCTGCCTTGCTTACAGAGTTCCCAGCATCCTTACTGGGTACGTATAAAAGGTCACTTCTTGGGAGGTGCAGGCGCCTCAGGATATTTGGGGATTGGAGAAGACAGGAATTCACCCAAATCTGTAGGTATCGCAGGCAAATCTGATAGCAGGTAGTTAGCTGGGCTCCTGGTCTTGAGAGGCCATTAAAAGTTCAATCTAGAAATTCCACATGAAAAGTTCCATCAGAGCAGGTTTTAAAGAGTCTATATGATCAATCACTCTTCTTGCCACACTTAGGTAAATAATCAGGCCAAGTATTTTTTAAAACAAGACTTTTTTTTGCATATAAATTCATGTTAACTTGAAAATCTTTGGTAAAATGAAGGTGATGTTAGAAAATTTGTTTCAGTAACACACCTTTGTAGCTAGTAGATTCTAATACTGTACTTCATAAATTGAACTAGACTCTGATTTCTACAAGTGTCTTCTTATGTCTGGTAACAGTTCTCCAAACTAACATTTTTTAATTTTTTTTTTCACCTTTCAGACTTGGAATCATTAGAGAACAAAATCTGTCCTTTTGCCTGAAGCCCTGCAAACTGAATATAAATAACTTGATGTACACTTCAGAGAAATCGCCACAACAGCTCACATATGGACCATCTTCATGTCTGTTGCTCTGTGGGCCACTAAAAAGGATCACCTGAGACATTTGACCTACAAACCAGGAAAATCTATCAGACTGTCACTGCCTGCTCTCTAACTGAAGATCCTTTCAGACTGACGTCCAGAAATCTCAACTAACTGCCCTCACCCTCAAAACTGGCTTATAACTTGATCCAGTCATTATTTTCCTTTTGGTTCCATAGAAATGCCTCTTATTTAACACCTGCTTATTTGAACCACAGGCCTAACTTTGAGACCACGCCTGCCTTATCACCTTCTGAAATGAGTTTCAGAGAATGAGCCTCTTGTCAAGACTAAGAGATTGGTCCAACACGATGGAATAATTGACCAGCTCAACTTTTAATTTGTGGAACTTCAGCTAAGTTCCAAGGGAGGGAACTGGAGGGGCCAATGGCAGGCTACCCCCAAATGGGCCACTCTGACATGAAGACTGTTAGGAGTATAGAAGCAATCAAAACGCTGCTAATTCAGGAAAACTTCTTTACTTCTCCTTCAACCACCTAAAAAGAATGTAAGCAGAGGACCTGCTCCAGGAAGATAACTGTTACCATAGGTAACTACATGGTGATGTAAGCTAGGTATGATAGGGAGGAACCTAGCCAGGCCACTTCCATCACAGTCCTATCTTTGTTCCCTTGTTTCTGAGTGGCCCAGACAACATTTATTTACCAAACATTGACTCTTTTGCATCTTCCTGTAAATCGCATTCCTTTCCTCTGAGGTCCCAGACCCCTACTGCCTTCTCCTTAGTTCAAGATGACATATGTGCCTCATTTTGCCTGTTTTTGCATTTCTATGCCAGTGGATTCCTCATACATCTGCTATCTAATTTTGATGTTTTCCTATTAATTGGTCTTAACCTCATTTGATTCTTAATCTAGCTACAAGGACCTTGAAGGGGCCAGCATTCCAGCCCCCAACAGGAATAACTTTCTCACTGTGGGATTCATGGCCTGCTACCATTACAACAATTTTGCACTCAAGTTAAAACAATCTCATGTACCAGAGAGGTACCTGTTTCCTCTGCATTAGTCAGGGTCCAGGTGAGGACATTATTGAAAGGGCAGTGTCATGGGCAAAATTCGTAGGAACATCCAAGAAGATCATGGAGCAGCCCTATGTCAAACACAGAGGGAGGGGAGATGGAGTCCTCAATGGCCTGGCCCTGGGGACTCTGGGGCAAGGTTCAGAAAGTAGCTGTTTTCTTAAGAAGGAAGTTCTGTTAAAAGGGGAAAGGGGGGCAACCCCCGAGGCCCAGTGGTTTAGCGCTGCCTTCAGCCCGGGGTGGGATTCTGGAGACCAGGGATCGAGTCCTGCGTTGGGCTCCCTGCATGGAGCCTGCTTCTCCCTCTGCCTGTGTCTCTGCCTCTCTCTCTCTTTCTGTCATGAATAAATAAATAAAATCTTAAAAAAAAAAAAAAAGGGGAAAGGGTCAGAGGGAGGATGCTGGGCATAGAAGCAAAGTGCTGCCAGAGTCCTTATACTTCTTTATGGAGATACCAGGGTGGGCAACTTTCTAATCGGATGTGGGCCCACTTGGGATCCTGAAGCCATAGTAGGGATCAGCCCAATCCAAATGTGAAGGGCTCAAGGACCATGGAGCTCACTGCCCCCACCTGGGAAAGGCCGTGGGGGGCATGCTAGGGAGCCTTTGGGGTCTTGAGAGCATGCACCCAGGTGAGGCTGGAACTGCCTGGCAAAGTCCAACCATGGTCACGGCCTCCACCTGCTGCAGGAGGGAAGACGGCAGAACACCGCTCACCTCCTGCGGCCACAGAGACTCAGATGGTGCAAGGTCCTAGGAGCCAGAAAGACAAGCCTCTCATGGGACCCTTTTTCTTAGTGTCACAGTGACGTGCACTTGGGAACATGCCCCTCACCCCTCTGGGTGGTGCTGCCCCTTGGTACAAAGCCCACTCATGGGCTCCATTTGGTGCCTGAGGTCTCCATACCGACAAGAGCTTCCCAGGGACCCAAAGCTTTTATGGAGTGCTGAAGGGCTTTTGTGAGTTCTGATTGGTTCTGAAATCTGGATTCCCCACCTTGGAAAAGGACTCAGGACTGTGAGTGGGAACTCTGGTGGACAGTGTGCAGAGGGGTCTACTTACAACCACAGGATTCCCCGAAATGATGAAATGGATGATCCCCAAGACCCAGTGGGTCTTACTGAACCCTCAAAAGGAAGGAAAAATTCTTCTCTACCAGGGTCTTCCAGTCGGACTAAGAATTAACTTGACATGAGACAGGTTAACAGGAGAGGAAACCAAAGTTCTCTTCTGTGCACACTGAGGCCCAGTAATGAGACCGAGCCCCATGGAAGGGACTGAGGCTGTAGTTTTTACACTTTTTAGACAGAGAGATGTTGGATCTGGGAGGGATTGACAGGACCAGGAAAACCTAACTCCAGGAACTTCACTTAAGGAAGGAATTCTGCACAGAATGTGGGCTGCGTGGGAAAGTAGGTAAAAAGTCCCATGAGTGGTTACCCAGCCTTCTGGGCCCATGAATCTCCCATCTCTGGTGACGAGAATGTCTCTGTCTCCTGGTTCAGGGAGGGCACAATCCACAGGGAGGGATCTTGCCTTCTCTCAGGGGCCAGGGGCCTGAGTGCCTCAGCGTCTCTTGGGTAACTTTTATTCATCATGATCGATATGCCAAAGAGGTGCATTTGGGGGCAGCTGCCCTTGGCCCTACACTCTCATGCTGTGACCCTGGAAAGCCAGTCCAACATGAAGGGCCACCCTGGCTGCTCCCCCATCACCAGCCACTGTGGCAGCCAGGCTGTACACCCGGAGGGAGGTCGGGAGATCTGAGCCTAAAAGTGGAAAGCCTTCGTGAAACATAAAATTGTAATTCTAGTTTTGCAGGATGAAGAACATTCTGGAGACCAATGGTGGTGATGGTGCACAGCACTGTGGGTGTGCTCACTGCCCCTGCACCGTGGAGGTAAATGCGGCTAAAATGAACAATTTTGTGCTATGTCTCTCTTACCACAATTTCTTAAAAACAAAGCAAAATATCCATAGACCTGAAACCTAAAAATAACCAGGTAACAAAAAAGCTTGCAGAGAAATGTACATGATTATCCACTGTGTGTAGAGGATTCAGAAAAGTAGGGTTCCCAAGACTGAGAGAGGAAAAAAAAAAGATCGATTGCCATCTGGAAGAATTTGATACTTGTTTTTTAAAAAAAAATCTGAAGAGGGCTTACCATAGAGAAAGAGGTAAGAATTTTGTTTGGCCCTTTTCTCTTTTGTATACTTTGCCTTTTTTTTCTTGTTTCCAGTTCGAATCCATACTTGTGATGGCGCCATTGTCTTGTCAGGGCTTTGGATTCTTGAGGACACTATCAGGCCCAACTGTGTATTAGGAGTGAGGTCAGCTGATCATCATCTCCCAGACCTTTGCTGAGCTCCCATGGTGGGCACCAGCCTGGGGCTTAGCACAGGGACACAGAGACAGGTGTGCAGACACGGGCCTGCTCACCCAGGCTGGGCACGGGGCTCAACTCCACAGCTGCTCAAAAATGGCTGTTGGGGGCTATTTCCAGAGATTTCGCTGGGCTTGTCCTCTCAGTCTCCTTCATCTCTTTTATCCAGCCTCCAGCCCCTTACTCAGTGGCAACAACTGGTTTGTTTCCTTTTTTTATGAATCTGTTCCATTTTTTGTTTGTTTGTTGTTGTGTTTTGTTTTATAGATTCCAAATACACACAAAATCACGTGATACTTGTCTTTCTCTATCTGACTTATTTCATTTAGCATGATGTCCTATAGGTCCATTTATATAACAAATGGCAAAATCTCATTCCTTTTTACAGCTAGGTTATATTCCATTATATATGTACATATATAATGGCATACATATATATTTACCAAATCTTAATCCATTAATATATCATTGGACTTTCGGGCTGTTTCCATATCTTGACTATTGTAAATAATGCTGCAATAAACATAGGAGTTCATATATCTTTTCATATTAGTGTTTTCATTCTTGTTGGATTGTCATAGTAGAATTACTGGATTGTATGGTATTTCTATTTTTAATATTTTGAGGAGCATCCATACTGTTTTCTACAGTGGTTGCACCAATTTCAATTCCACCCACAATGCATGATGGTTCCTTTCCTCCACAGCCTTGCCAAAATTTATTCTTTCTTGTATTTTTGATACCAGCCATTCTGACAGGTATGAGGTGATATCTTATTGTGGTTTTATTTTGTTTTGTTTAAATATTTTATTTATTTATTCATGAGAGACAGAGAAAGAGAGAGAGAGGCAGAGACACAGGCAGAGGGAGAAGCAGGCTCCCTGCGGGGAGCCCCATGCAGAACTCGATCCCAGGACCCTGAGATCATGACCTGAGCCAAAGGCAGACAGACGCTCAACCACTGAGCCTCCCAGGCACCCCCTTATTGTGATTTTGATTTGCATTTCCCTAATGATAAGAGATGTTGAGCATCTTTTCATGTGTCTGTTGGCCATCTGTATATCTTCTTTGCAAAAATATCTATTCGGGTCCTGAATATTCTGATTTTTTTTTTGGTTGTTGAGTTCTATAAGTTCATCATGTATTTTGAGCATTAACTCCTTCCCAGATATATAATTTGCAAAGGTCTTCTCCCAGTCAATAGGTTGCCTTTTCATTTTATGGTTTCCTTTACTGTGCAAAAGTACTTTACTTTTTATTTTGGTGTGGTCCCAACAGTTTATTTTTGCTTTTGTTTTCCTTGCCTGAGGAGATATTATCTGGAAAATCTGCTAAGGCTGATGTCCAAGAGATTACTGTCTTTTAGGAGCTTTATGGATTCACACCTCAAATTTAGGTCTTGAATTCTTTTGGAATGTATTTTTGTATACAGTATAAGAAGGTGGTGCAGTTTCATTGTTTTGCATGTAGTTGTCCAGTTTTCCTGACAGCAGGTATTGAAGAGACCATCTTTTCTTCGTTGTATGTTCTTGCCTTCTTTGTCCAAGATTAGTTGACTGTATAAGTGTGGATTTATTTCTTGTCTTTCTATCTGGTTTCACTGACTTAAGTGACTATTTTTGTACTAATGCCATATTGCTGTCATTACTATACATTAGTAGCATATCTTGAAATCTGTGATTGTGGTACCTCCAACTTTGTTCCTTCTCAAGATTGCTTTGGCCATTCAGGGTCCTTTATGGTTCCATATAAATTTTAGGATTATTTGTTCTAGTTCTGTAAAAAATACTATTGATATTTTGATAGGGGTTGCATTAAATCTATCCTTTGGGGATTATGAACATTCTAACAATATTAATTATTCAGTGCATGAGCATGGTATATCTTTCCACTTGTTTGTATTGTCTTCAATTTCTTTCATCAGTATCTTATTATAGTTTTCAAAGTACAGGTCTTACATGAACCAAATGTATTCCTAGGCATTTCATTTTCTTTTTTGGTATGATTGTAAATGGGATTATTTTCTTAATTTCTTTTCTACTATTTGATTATTACTGTATAGAAATATCACAGATTTGTGTATATTAATTTTGTATCCTGCAAGGTTACTGAATTTGTTTATTAGTTCTAATAGTTTTTTGGTGGAGTCTTTAGGATTTTCTATATATAGTATCATGTCATATGCAAATAGTGACAATTTTATTTATTCCTTACCAATTTGAATGCCTTCTATTTATTTTTCTTGTCTGATTGCTATGGCCAGGACTTCCAGTACAATGTTAAACAAAAGTGGCAAGATTGGACATCTTTGTCTAGTTCCTCATCTTAGAGAAAAATCATTCAGTTTTTAACCATTGAGTGTGATGCTAACTATGGGTATGTCATATATGGCCTTTATTATGTTGAGGTATTTTCCCTCCAAACCTACTTTATTGAAATTTTTTTTCCATGTATGAGCTGTAGAATTTTGTGACATTTCAAGTTTTCTCATCTACTGGCTTATTTTAAATGCTCATTGAATTAACAACACTCATTAATCAGTTTCTCGTGGTTGATTTCCTTCTTTGCCTGATTTGAGGGGCTGAGTTTCTGTGCATACTCCCCTCACTGGGGACACAGCTTCACTAGAGTTCTGGTCTCTTTCCTGTGTGAGACTCCCCTATCATCTGGCCCAGGTTCCCACTTCTCTAGCCTCCTCACATCACTGGGCCTGGGAGCCAGTCATCCAGCCAGGACCCTGCCCACCTTGGCACTAAGAAACCACTGAGGGACTTCATCAGTCAACACAGACCATAAATAGTGAGGACCCCTCCAGAAACTTTCATGTAGAGAACCCCAGCCCCAGGGCCAACGTGCAAAACAGGTCATCTTGTAGAATGTTCTGATTTGTGGCTTTATCTAATTGCTTTCTTCTGGTGGCATTTAATTTATCTCTCCATAAAGCAGAGGAAAGTGGAATAAAAGCTTGATTAGATTTTCATTCATCATTTTGGCAAGAACATAATCCTGAAATTTAGAAATAAAAATAAATTTTACTGTCACTGCCCCAAGGCTGTAGCAGAAAGCTGTTACCCAAAGAAAAGTAGTTTTTCATTTTACTGATGCCTGATCCTTGAGAAGCTCTACTGTGTGCCAGTGGTTCCCACAATTTGAGATGCTCATGGAATAGTAAAATTTCTTGGAGAACATGGGGGACTGACAGTTTGTTTTGCAAAGTAAGTCCACTTAGAAACAGCAACATCTGCTCAACACTATCACCAGTCATTTCAAAAGAACAAATTAAATATATTGTAATGCCAAATAAATCCCAAAAAAGAAAAGAGAGAAAAAAAAGAAGGAAGGAAGGAAGGAAGGAAGGAAAGAAAGAAAGAAAGAAAGAAGTTTAAAAAAAAGAAAATTAAGAAACTTGGGGTTTTAGAATAATGGACATTGTTTCAATTGAATAATTTAATCTGGGGATCCCTGGGTGGCTCAGCAGTTTAGCACCTGCCTTTGGCCCAGGGTGTGATCCTGGGGTCCTGGAATTGAGTCTCATATCACGCTCCTTGCATGGAGCCTGCTTCTCCCTCTGCCTGTGTCTCTGCCTTTCTCTCTCTCTCTCTCTCTCTCTCTCTCTCTCTCTCTCGCACTCTGTTTCTCGTGAATAAATAAATAAAATCTTAAAATAAAATAAAATAATTCAATCTTAGAAAAAAATCACAAGTGATCCTTATTTCTACATTTCACTAGAGTAATAACTAGTTAACTGTGGGTAGTGTGGATTTAAAGTTTATTGCTATTTTGTTTGTCCAAAAGTCTTTGTGCTGTGCTGTGTATAGAAGTGTAAAGCCCCACAGCCTTTATCCCATGAAATATTTCATGGCCATGTAGATTCTATCCCCTGATACTATAAAACTCACCTCCTGTTCCACAGGTAGAGCCTTGCTTTGGGAAGCACAGGGGCTCTTGAAACATGGTCACAGCTCTCAGCTTTAGGGGGAAGCAGGGTCACACACGAGGTCAGACCACAGCCCTGTCATGAAACACGGGGGGCAGCGGGTCTCTGCTGCAACGGACCCAGGGAGAGAGAATGGGAAGAGCTGGTTTTAATTCATGAGTGCGCTGGCATTGCACCTGACCTTCCTGTCCTGTCTTACCTCCAGGTTACATGGAAACCTGGATTCCTCGTCCTCTGTAACCAGGTAGACATTTGTTAAAACAATTATGATGCTAGGGCACCTGGGTGGCTCAGTCGGTTAAGCATCCGACTCCTGATTTCGGCTCAGGTCATGATCTCGAGGTTACAAGGTCAAGCCTAGCATCAGGCTGGCTCTGTACAGAGTCTGGCACCTGCTTAAGATGCTCTCTCTCTCCCTCTCCCACTGCCCTTCCCTGACTCCTTCCCTCTATAAAAAAAAAAAAAAAGACGCCCCCCCCCGCCCGGAAGAAAAAAAGAAAACAAAAACAAAAAAACTAAAACCAGTGATGTTGCTGCTTGTGGATTCCTTCATCTCCTGAAGATGTGCACAGCAGAAGACAAGATGATCGTGAGTCAGGACATCTGAGGGGCCCACCCAGCTTCTCAGAGCTTCTGGCATTTAGAACAGTGTATCTTTCTCTATACAGCCTGACTTTTTATGAAATCCAGGAGTTCAAAAATTCAGTTTGGGAAGTTAAATCTTGAATCTTTGACTCTTGTATTTTCATTTCTCCTTTTCAACTCCTGACACTTCCCAAGGCAATGGATGCTTCTGGCTTCATCAAGGGTAGGTTGAATACAAGAAAGGCAATAAAAGATGAACATGAACCTTCTAAAAATCATCACAGTTGAAATTGAGGAGCTGGGAGGATAAGGGAGTGGGGAGTTAGTGGTTCATGGGGACAGAGTTCAGTTTGAGACGAGGAATGTTCTGGAGATGGTTGGCGGTGACAGCTGTACAACATAGGTGAATGCCCTAAACGAAAGGAGTCACTCTGTTATGTGTATTTTGCCACAAGAAAAAGAAATTCAACTCGCTTCCCAGTGAGCAGGTGAGTGTGGGAAGCTGTCTCGCCCCCTCCTGGAAAAAGAACAGGAAACAAGTTGGGCACAATGGCTGTGGGTGGTCTCAGGGGGGCAGTGCCGACCACCTGGAAGACTGAGGAGATCAAGACATGTCCAGCTCCCTGGTACTGTCCTGTGGGTGTGACCAGCCAGTTGGGACCTCCCGCTGTCCCCCCTCCCACCCCACCCCCCCGCTCGCCCCCATATCTGGATCATGAGCTCTGAGTGAGCAGGGCAGGAGCGGGCTGTGAACCTCAGCTGCAGCAGCATATTTCCCGTTGGCCCTGCAAATGCTTGTGCACTGTGTACACTGCCCCAAGGTGCCTGGAGGGTGGAGACTTGTTTTATCTGCATTCAACCCACTGAAATTTTAAGGCAACTATTCACTTGTGTTTGCTGGCAAGTCCATTTTGCCAGGACCAATGAAGAGTGAATCCTCTAGAAGTCAAGAAAGTCATTTTTGACTTTCTTGTTATTTTTCTGAGAACATGAATGAGAAGAGGAGGAAGAACACTGGCCTCCAAGATGGACCAACCATGAGCAAGTTTCACTGAGGCAAGGGTGGACTAACCAGTGCATTTTGCCAACATTCTGCCCACTGGGGACCTATTTTAATGCATCATGCACATTTGGGGGCTGAACAAGCAAAGAAAAGCAGGGCAGAAAGCCATGATGGTGGAAGCTGGTTTGGTTGAGAGTCTTCAAAGGCACCTTAGTCCTTAAGTCTCCCTCCAAGGACTTGAACAGAGAGCATACCTGTGGCTCTCTGTTGGAATGCTCCAGGTGAGAGTTGTGTCCTTGGGTCCCTGAGCCTCTGTCTTCTCTACTGGTCCTATGACCTCAGGTGCTTGGATCTCAAAGGCTTGTTGTCATGTGTTCTATTATTTCTGGATTGTCTGATTTTCTAAAATTTTCAGTGATGTGTCTTAAGATATGACCCAACAAGGGTGTCTCGACGATAAGGGCCCTGTTAAATTACAGAACATCCTTAAGAATAATAGTACTAGCTACAGTCTAGGGACTGTATGCTAACCACTAAATAACATAGCTTCTATAAATCCTCAAAATACCCTCAAAAGTAGGTATTTTTAATTCCCTTTGACAGATGAGAAAATGGAGTCTTTGGGAGATGAATGGTCTTGCTCAAGATTATATAGCTGTTAAGAAGCAGAATCAAGTTTTGAACCATGAAACTGTTTAATTCCAAAATTAGTGGCCTAAATTACTACACATTTGTTCATTTGATTATCATCTGCCTTTGCCTGGCAATCTTCATGTCCACCACTCATGACATACGATGGATCCTAAATAAATATTTGTTGAATGAATGAGTGCTATCTCCTGTCCACACCTAAGGAACAGGGCATAATGGTGGAATGGCCGATCATTATTTTGTAGTTCCTTGAAATATCAGGACCAGTTTCTTGTGGCCTTGAGGAGTCCAGCCAACCCCATGGCCCCTGCTACAGACATAGAAAGCCTCCTTGCATTACAGAAACACTCCATATCAAAACTTTAGTACAATTTCTTATTTCCTTTTTTAATAACAGTACAAGTTGTTATAACAAGCTCAAGTTGTTATAAAGATGGAAAACCTGAATTCAGAAGTAAACACGAACATTTTTCAGTAGAGGAAAACCTACTTTAGCCTCAAATGGGAAATTTCTTGCCTCAAATAGCAAAGTCTTTGAAAAATATGGCCAGCATTGCTTCTCCTACAGAAAAGTAAAATCACTTCCCTTTTTCAGAGACATAGGAGACATTATTTGTGACAGGCCTCAACAACCAGTGGTACCTGATCTTATTTCTTTGATTTTGTCTTTCTTTTGAGTTTAGAAAGGTTTTCTGGACCCTTTCCAACAGCTCCCTCCTGTCCTCAGCCCAGCACTTGCCTTTGTCCTCTGTCCTTCCCGCACATTTTCTCAGGAACACTGCGGCGCACTGAGCAGATGTCCTCACCTCTGCCCATCTCTTTCTCCTGGAAAGAAGAAATGCTTCCCTGCATTTCTTGGAACTAGGAAATTATTTTGAATGCTAAGTACTGAGTTCTTCCTAAAATAAGACCTAGTATTATAGATAGTACCTATAGCCAGGATTCCAGAGAATTCGAACTGCTTCTCCTCTCCCAGAAGCACTTTGCTGTGAAAGACATGGTCTGCAGAAGAGCAAGTCCACTTGGTATCCTTTAAAGATACTCATGAAAAGGAGCTACTACATCTTTCTTCTTTCTTCTTTTTTTTTTTTAGAGAGAGAGAGAGAGAGAGAGAGAGCAGCCTGGGGAATGCGGGGGAAGAATCATAATCAGGTACCACCTCCAGCGGGGAGCCCTATACCGACCTTGAGATCATGACCTGAACTGAAATCAAGAGTCAGACGCTTAACCCCCTGAGCCACCCAGGCTCCCCTCTGAAGGTGTCTTTAATAGTGAAAAATTCATTGTCATCCACGGATCAGTGACCAGTTTCTGGAAATGTTTTTGAATGTTTCTGTTAACCACACAGGACAGAACTGCTGAAGCAGTAGGGAGCATAAACAAGATGGTCAGATGGAGGAGGCTGAAGGAAGTGGGAAGGTTCAGCAGTGGCCCTTCAAGGCTGTGTGGGTGTGAGGAGAAGGCCCCAGACACGTGCCCCAAGCAGAAGGGAGCTGCAGGGCCTGTCCCTCAGACTCCATGTCACCAGAGAGAGGACTTGACCTTCCTCCCATAGGTCCAAGTTGTTATTAATCAGATCAGAAGGACAGGATGCATTCCTTCCCCTTACTCCACCCGCCCCCAACAAGGAGAACCCCAGAGTAGTGTTGGATGGTCCTGATGCTAGGAGGCATTTCTGGCAAATGTTTTACCCATTTCAACATTTGCTGAATATTCTCCAAAAAATTCTCCAACAAATGAGGTTAGGGATCCTGTGAAAATGAGGCTACATCTGAAGGTACCTAGAGGGATACGATGAGACATGATGGTGGGGTGAGTGTCACAGAGACTGTTCTCGGCAAATTTAGGCTGACTGTGTGATTTGGGGTCCTGTATCTAAATAAGGAAAGCCTTCTCATCACTGACTATATTGGGAACAGAGACTAACCAGCAGCCTCTTGAGGGGCTGTCCAGTCAGTGGGATGATCCTAGTAGAAGAGGAAGTTGTCAGCATTACTGTTCACATGAGCTCAATGCTCCAGGGCTGCGTTTTTGCTAGTAGCATTCAGCAGCTCCTCCAAGGCTTTGGGAACTTATCCAAAGCAGGCAAAACCAAGGTGGTAAAAAGTAAAGTAGGTCAACACCAGTGCCTTTGGGGGAGGAAGTCAGAGAAGCAAGAAGAACCCCCTGTGGGCCAGAGCCGCAGTGCGTGGAAGAGTCTGTCTGGTCAGACAGAGGGGGCTCCACTTCTTCAAGCTCTGGGTTTGGATAATGTCCTCAATTCTTGCCCCTAGGTTCGGCCTGGACCCCATTATGCCCACGGAGTCATTGAGCTCTTCTGGTGTTAGTGAATGCACTAGTTGGTGAATACACACAGCAGGATGCTGATGAGCATCTACAGGGTTGACTTTGGCAGGTGGCAGGAGAGCTCACAGCTCACAGCAGGTGTTTGCATCCAGGGCCTAGTAACATGTCCCTGCTGCCTCATCTGATGCCAGAGGCTGTAACAGCCACTCTCACCAAGGCTCAGACTGGAGCCAGCGTCCCCAAGGCTCCCTTTCTGATCCCTCCATGAGTAATGGAGTCACGTGCCACCGCGATGGCTAAGGACTGTGTTCCAGGCAGCTGGAGGGCCAGCGTCCAGCTTCTCAGCCTCCGCAGCCAGGCAGGTGCTACAGGCATGCCACCTCCCCCTCCTGCTCACCTCTCTGCATCTCTGTGCTGGCAAAGGAGGAACTACCTTAGTATTTTTCTCACTCTCCCCATTAGGGAAATTCTGAGGGACCAGACAGAGTTAAAGCCCCTAGGGGAAAA